TCCCTGGTAAGCCACCTCGTGGGCTACACAGAATATTAGAAATGGGTTAGAACAATATGTAAGAGCTAGCCAATAAGAAACTGGAACTTATGGGCCAGGCAGTTTTTAAAAGAATAGTTTCTTTGTAATTATTTCGGGCATAAGCTAGCCATGCGGGCGGCCAGGTGCCGGGGACACAGCCCCGCCACTTCATCAACAGAGAGAGAGAGGAGGCATGCTTGTATATATGTTTGTGTGGGTGTGAGTGCACGTGAATGGAGATCATATACACATATGTGTTCAAGCACATGTGGAGATAAGACTGATACTGGTATCTTCGATAGTGATTCTAATATCATCATCATTATTATCATCATATTGAGGCAGGATTTCTCACTAAATCTGGAGTTACTGATTCTGCTAGACTGTCTGGAAAGAATGTTCCAGGGATCAAATAAATAAAAATAAAAAGATAAATAAATGAACTGGTTGATTAGTTAAAATTGTTGTTTGGTTGCTAAATTGAGTTGCATTAAAAATCATTCAATGAACATTGATTAATCCCAGTACTCTGGAGGCAGAGGCAGGCAGATCTCTGTAAATTGGAGGCCAACCTGGTCTATAAGAGCTAGTCCCAGGACAGCTACACAGAGAAACCCTATCTTGGAAAAACAAAAACAAAAAAAAATCAAAATATCAGTCAACTCCAGAAAATGCCAAAGGTGCTCTATGCCTTTCATTTTCAAATATTTAGTCAATATTTATTTCTTAAAAATAATTAAGCATATCCATATCATTAATATGTGAATTTGTTTTCACCTATACTAAATAGTAAATGCATCTAGACCAAAGAATTGCTTATAGGATTTATATTGGGAAGGGTCTGCATTGTATATCTATGTATATAAAATATAATATACTTAAATAATATAAACATTGATCTGGGGCAAAGAGGTCTAGAGTGGAAAACCAGCTAAGACATTTGCAGGGAATGTATATGAATCAAGGGCTTCAGACATCAGCATGTAAGATATTCTTAGATGGGAAGTCAGTTCTGGAAATATGACAGATATGTTATTGTTCGAGTTGTGACAAATAACACACTAGAATTTGAAGACAGCTCATTTACTACTTTTTAGAACTGAGAAGTTCTGGTGGCCACATGCACTCCATAAAGTGGGTTTATGGGAATTTAGTAATAACTATCAAAGAAAAAAAGGCTGGCAATTTTCTCAAAATAAAGTACATTCCAAGGTTCTTGGTTTCATTCCGAGAACCTCAAAGGGGGGGGGGGGGGGGGGGGGGGGGGGGGGGGGGGGGGAGATAGGCAATTCCATTGCAGTTGTCCATTTAAATATTATCCTCCCTAAACTTACATGCAAAGTTCCCAACACAAGTGCCTATCTATAAGATGGCACCACAATACAGTCAATAACTGTTTTCTTCTTTCTTCCTTTTTTTTTTTTTTTGTTTTTGTTTTTCAAGACAGGGTTTCTCTGTAGCTTTGTTGCCTGTCCTCCTGGAATTAGCTCTTGTAAACCAGGCTGGCCTCGAACTCACAGAGATCCGCCTGTCTTTGTCTCTCGAGTGCTGGGATTAAAGGTGTGTGCCACCACCGCCCATACCTTTCTTTTATACCATCACAAACTCAAATCATATGCAGGTGTGGCAAGGCTGGGTATCAACTGACTTTAAAAACATAAACGTCAGTCAGACAGATTCAAGACTGCATGTACTGTTGCTTTTCTGTTGAGGTTGGATGAGCTCTCCTGAGTGGGACAGAGGTGAATTGATGGAGTCCCTGGCACCTTCTCAGGACCCTATATGCCCCTAGAATTAAATGTCTGATCTATTGCCAGGAAATGAAGAAGAAATCTGAGAAGGATAGCTTAAAAACTGGTACTATGTCATTGCCGCAGGAGCTGTCTGAGTGTTTTTGATATTGAAGAACAACAGTCAGCTTCTCTCTATCTCTGGCTGAGGCCCACACTGTTGTGAAATAACCTGTTTTTTTTTTTTTTTACACTGTGAATATGTGTCACTTGGATTGGTTTAAGCAAAAACTGAACATCCAATGGACTGGTTTAATAAAAAAACTCAACAGCCAATATCTAGGCAGGATTTTCAGAGCAGAGATGATGCTGGGAAAAAGGGCAGGATTGCAAGGAGTTGCCAGGCAAATGGAGAAAGAGCAACATGGACAGTACAGAGAAGTTAAAAAGCCACAACACAAAAAGTAGATTGATAAAAATGTGTTGGTTTAAGTTGTAAGAGTTAGTAATAAGCCTAAGCTGTCGACTGAGGTTTCATAATTAATAAGTCTCTGTGTGGTTATTTGGGACTGGCTGCTGGGACAGAAGAATTTGTCTACACCATCTTATCAACAGGACACTTCTACTGGACCAAGAAGGGTCTCAAAAAGAAGGCCCTTTCTGTCCCCAAGCGGCCCTACTAAGGCTCTCCACATAAGAGAGATGCCTTTATGGGTCACATTGATAGAGAGCACCAATGCCAGGATGCCATAACCAGGCCAAGAAGAACATAGCAGAGTAGGTTCTTAGAATAGACTGAGGTGAGGGCCTCTGGGGCAGCTCCCTTCATGCTCCTGTTCTAACTAAAGTTAATATGATCTCACTGACTTCCGTAGTCTTGGCATTGAAGAGGGATATCAATGTTGCCAAACCACAGTAGTGAGGGGAAAGCTGCAGGAAAGAAGTAAGCTTTGGGGACCCTTTACAATGCCAGGAGCTTCTTTAATGAAAATGTAGCATTTGGCTTATGTGGAGGCACTTAGCAAAATTTCAAGTCATCCAGATAGTAATATGGCACCTATTTACCCTACGCAAGGTATTGTCAGGGAGCTTGTGGGACTTCACCGTCATAGTCAGGATGTGAAGATTCATGGCCTAGGCAAGGAAAGAGATCATCCTTCAGTGGCAAAGCATCACAGATTGTTATAGACGGACAGTAGTAGTAGTGAGACGGAAAGTAGACTCTCATCTTTGCAATATCAAAGTCTCATGCACTTTCTGCTTCTCAAGTCACATTTTTTACATTCCAGTTTACACATGCTTCCCTGAAGACAGAAATATTGATGGGGGTGGGGGTGGATGGCAATGGAAGAGGTCACCAAGAAGCAAATATGGGAGAAGCAACCACCCCAGAAAGGTACACGAGTGAGAAGAATTTGTGGGAAGTAGAGGAGGAAGCAGCCAAGGGGTGGGCATTATTTTAAGGGGCGCTGGTGCTGTTTTAACTACTGGAATTCCCAAAGATGAAACACCACTGATCCTCTCCTGATGGTGATGCTGATGCCCAGCCTGAAGCCATCTTTGCCTTTTCTCAAGGTGGCAGGAGTTTTCTCCAGCCTGTGATGAGGATGAGGAAGGCAACCATGCACCCCACCCAACATGAGGGCCCCAGTCACTGTGTTCTGCTGCTAATCACTGACATTGAACCAAGTCCTTACTCACCAAGCAGACAGGTAAGACTCATGAGTGAGAGAAGTTGGGTACCTTGTCTGAAATCTCACTAGAAAGCTGGTTCAGGATTTTACTTTGCATGAATTCCAGATTGGTTTCAGAACACTACGCCTGGAATCTTTCTGGATTCATTACAGTGTCTGTAGAGGGCTATGTCTGACAGTCCAGAAAACAAACTAAGCTGAACAAGTCAAGCCTGACACTGTGATGACATAATTCAACTGTGTTAAGCAGAATTTCAGCATCACTGGCCTCCCGTCTGCTAAACAGTGTGGTAAATTCTTTTACACTCAGGGTTTAATGTTCCTTCCACTCACTGGTCCATTCCTATCCTCCTGCCCCCGCCCCGCCCCACCACCAACGTCTTATCTGCCCTTTCTAATTCTAACATGTCAACCTCTTACTTTTACATTTAATAAGTTAACATGAGTTTTGTTTTTTACAGTTCTTTGGTGCTCTGCAAAGCATGTTCCTAACAGCATGAACTCTTTTGTATATGGAATTCTAGGGTTCTATGCTCACAAGCAACTACAATGGACCGGAGACTACAGTGACCCTTTTCCTCCTATTGCTACTATCGAATTTTATTCCCAACCCATCTCAAAAGCTTCATGCAAATTCGGCCAGTGAATCTCTGCCAGTGAAACCGTGTGTTTCTCTGGAGTACTATGGATGAGGAGTCAGCTGCTCTAGGAAAACTTTCTAGATGGATGAAAGAAGCTCCTTTACCTGTGCCCTGGTGTGTGTGTGTGTGTGTGTGTGTGTGTGTGTGTGTGTAAAACATATATAAGCTCATACATGGAACTCGTTCCAAATGACTGGGAAGGAATAGAGCCCCAAATGAATATTTGTATATGAATACAACATACACATGTGTTTTAGGGCAAGACTGTATGAGGAATTACAGCTAGTATTTGAAGAGACAAGTGGGTAATTAACCCTATAGGAACAATGAATGATCTTCTTTATAATCACTGTCAGACTCAGTCAGGAGGCCCATTATATGAGTATTTCTGTTTGTGATTTCCTGGGCAGGTTGAGACTAACCGTGAACCATGCCTCGTGTGAGTGATACATGAATACGTCAATTTAGGAAATATGCTGCAGTGCTCTTAAAACACAAATACAAAATGTTCTAAAATTAGAGTTTGAAACAAGTCTATTGAATGAACAGTTTTAGTCCTTTGCAGCGTGTTTTATTACAAAACTGCTCAAAATAGGACCTCCGTTGAATGCTTTTATAAGGAAATTTTTGGAATACCATTTGCCAAACAGGTAACTAGACACATGAATGTATTCGCCATGAGGGGAGAAACAGGGAAGGGAGCAGAGAAAAATGTTGAGATCAATAAAAATCAATTAAAAATGCATTTGCTTGCTCCTTCCTCTAACCTGTAATTACTGATAATTTCCGGTTGCAGGCTGTGCAAGTACATTCGTGTGAGCTCAGCCACACATTTGTTTCTCTAAATCCGTGAAGTGACACTTCCCAGAGTCCACAACAGAGAGCGCGTGAGGGCGGTGCGCAGCACCTTCACAAACGCGCTGGTTGGGAAGGACTGCCCGGCAGGGCTGAGCTTGGGAAACGACGCCTGGAGTGCAGTGACTGAGTAACAAGCTGGAGGCTCTCGTGGCGGCTCCCCTGCCGGAACCTGGACCCTTGATCAGACCCGCCCAACTCGACCGGCTCCAACCGGCTCCAGCGGGGTCTCCAGCACAGCCCCGCCCCAGCTGCCTGACTTACAGGGAAATTTAGTCTGCAAGTTTTCTTCTTGAGACCTTTTTCAGCTTCTGGGAGAAGAGCCGGCCTCCTGACTGGGATGGATGTTTAGGAACTTGGGTTTGTACTTGGTGAGTTTTGCTGTGTGCTCCGCTTGAAATTATCTGGGTTAAAGGTTAAAAAAAAAATCAATGTGGAAGCTGGGTAGAGAGGAAGGATTTGCTTTTAAAACAGACTGTTGGCGTGCTATCATCACTTGATGTAAATTCGAGTTTCCTCTCTTTGTTATTTAGACTCCCAGAAACCCAAGTCCTAAGTGTCCGGACTGACAAAAGACCCGTCAGCTCTTAAGGTTTCTTGCTGTGAAACTAGGACGATCTCAAAACTGCTGCTCATTCGAAACCTACAGCTCGGAAGTGACTAAATGATGGTTGGATGAATGGATTGTGAATCTTCACCATCGCTGCTCCTAGATCAAAGTATCCCGAGGTCAGTCATTGCCCACGCAGAGTGTGTTCGCTCCCAGACCGCCACATCCTGCTGTGTGAGCCAAGTCCCCTCGGGGGGGAGGGGGGATGTGGCCTTGCGCCTTGCTTTAGACTGGAACACTCTCGCACCCGCTGCAGAGTCTAAGTCCCCGGGTGGGCTTGCTTTGTGCGGGCTCTGAGGTCCTCCCAGAGGATGGCTTGCTCAGAGTACAGTTCGCCCGGACCCGCCCCGCCGCACCTCCTGATTTCCTCCGCCAGCCCGGACCGGACTCGCCTCCGCGAGGCGGGAAGGAGAGGACCGCCTAGTCCACCCGGATGATGGGGGCGCATCAGGGCGGAAAGCATCGGAAAGATGGACCGCTGGCTCTTCGGTGCTGGCCGAGGCTGCCGGGTCCCGAGTGCGGAGAGGGAGGGAGCGGGCGGCCGAACGCCTTTGTTCACTGCGGCCTGTGGGCGCGAGCGCGGGTCGGCGACCACCCTGGCCGAGTCACCGCCTTTGTGCGGCAGATCCGATCTGACTGGCTAGGTCCAGTGCAGCCGGTTTCCCGGGTCTGCCGATGGAGAGAGGCGGCTGTGGCTTCACAGGACCCGACCCAGCCCTCGCCGGGCTTCAGACTGGGTTCCGAGCTTTACCGACGCCAGTGTGAATTCCAACCAATTCACGTTGGAAGCGTGGGGCGACTTGCACGTGGGGAGCTGACCGCTGCTTTAGACTAGTTACTGCCTGAAGAAGTGGAAACACTGAAACAGGCGGGTAGGGGAAACTGGGGAAAGTTCTTTCTAATGAGAAACCCCTGGCTACTTCTATTTCCTTTTAACAATACCAAATTTTATTTTGCATTTTGATTTTGATTGCTTTGAGCTCCCATTCTTTGCAGCAGTATTGGTTTTCCTAGGTTATGGGTCATATTACAGGGACACAGATGCCACCATATGGGCCATTTGTGGTGGTAGAGCAAATATTTAGGGTAACTTTCTGTTGAAAGTACATCCATTAGAATTGGATTTGTTCCTCTGTGCCTTTATTTTGGGAAACAGCCTGGTCCCAAGGGGCAGGGATGCCGGGGAGATGGATATGAGAAATCTGAAACTGACCCAGAAAAGGATGATTGAAGGTGCGGAAATGACCCTACCCTGAACACCGAAAGCGTGGTTAGTGAGCAGCTGATAAGGTTTGAACTTTATCCAAAGAGGGCTGGAGATACGGGCTGGTTCAATCTCAGAACAAGGGAAAAGACTGTCAGAAGAAACAAGTGGGAGATGGGGTAGTGTATTTTTAATGCAAGATAAATTTGGTACCTGAGGGACTTCCATTATATACTTAAAACATCTCTCTCTCTCTCTCTCTCTCTCTCTCTCTCTCTCTCTCTCTCTCTCTCTCCCACCTTCACCTCCCTGCCACTTCCTCCCACTTTACCATTCTTACTAAGCACTCACCACAGATGAGGCTGACTCTGTCTGTACCTGTCAGTCATCCAAGTGCTCACTTATGACACTTAAGGTTATGTGTTATGATGGGTAAGTTCTCTAACTCTCAGGAGCCCTGGAGCCCTTCTTAGGGAACTGGGAGATGAGAGATGAGTACACACAGACATGAATTTTAATTGCTTTGTTTACAAAGAAATTTCAGAAGATGGGAAAGGATTTTCAAAATGAAATCCAGACCCTATTGAGAAATGAAAGAAAGAAAGAAAGAAAGAAAGAAAGAAAGAAAGAAAGAAAGAAAGGAAAGGGAGAAAGAAAGGAAGAAAGAAAGAGGAGAAAGGATGGAAAAGTACTTATATATTTCATTAAAATTTGGATCAAATCTCTCTCTATAATCATAAATATATCGAAACAGATTTGTAGTAAAACTCCGTAGGTTTCTAGTTCTCAGATATAGAACAGCTTGGATAATAACTCATGAGTTTCTAAGTGGGTCATCTTTTAAAATGGGTCACTTTGGACAGAATCGCTGTACTCTTGCTGACTTACAAATTGTAAAGGGTTGAGTTAGGTCTGCAGCCAAAGTGCATTCAGATTTGCATCTCAGAACATACATTGAAAGAGACTGAGAGAAAGCCAGAAGATAGATAACTTTTCCAAAGTAACAAACAAGGTGGACACTGATGTGCTAGAAATTTTCTGTGCTCAGTTGAACAGATTCAAGCAAATTATCCAAAGAGTTCCTCCACTGAGCATCGAATCTCTCCCAGCAAAAAATGTGCAATAGTGTGAATCTATAACTACTTACAGTAAACAGTGCACATCATAGTATACAGTATATATTACTTTTTATATTTCCATATGTATGCATATATACATATACCTGTATTATGTATATTCTCATATACTCCATGTTTAAGAATCTTTATATTTAAAGATAAAAGGTGTGATCAGAAGCTTGGTAATGGTAGCAACATCTTTAATCCCAGCGCTTGGGAGGCAGAAGCAGGCAGATCCCAGTGAGTTAAGGCCAACCTGGTCTACAGAGCGAGTTCCAGGACAGCTAGGACTGTCACACAAAGAAAACCTGTCTCGAACAACCAAAAAAAGATTTAAAGAAGAAGGAGGAGGAGGAGAAACTTTGTTAGATAAGATATGAACTTTGAATAAGTAAAACGACTCTTTTACATTTAATGTTATGAATTTAAAGGCTGCCTTGGATTGGTCTTGTACCAAGATTTATCTTCTATAGTGAATCATTTAAAAATAGACAGCCAGTTTGCTATACAAAAACATCTTGCTGCCAAGTATAAGGCAACAAAATTCTAAAAGGTACAAGATTATGTGATACTACATAAAATCCACTTAAAATTTCATATTTTATCTCTATTCTTACTTTCCCACAACTCTTTCTGATAGTGCTGTAAGCAAAATAAGCTAACAGGTTGACTCCTGAGGTTTCGGTCTCCCTGACTGACAAGCTTTATCTGACTTCTGCATCATCATCACTGAAAGACATCTTCAGCGCCTGGATGGTCCTCAGCATCCTTTCTGGTCACAGACAGTGGACACCATTCTTCGTCAGTTAGGATCTGTTAGGTGACTGTTAGCAATCAATATTTTAATAAGCTTCTATCTCACTATTTTTTTTCAGAAGAAACCTATTAGAATGCAGCAGTTTTGAAAGCTTGATATTTGCCTGGAAACATTAGTCACCTACCAGTCTGTAGTAACTAACAATCCATGAATGGTTTCTAGAGAAGGAAAATTGATGCATATAAAGTAACTGATGTGGCCCACACTCTTAAGTTATGTCAGATGATCCTCAGAATACACTAGTACCTGGTTCAGAGGCAAGTCAAATGCACATGATGAGTAAAATAGACCAAATAAATGCACTTTTTTTTTCATTCTAAAACTCCAGAATCTTCTGTTCTATCTTATATCTATCAGGCCCAGATTTCAGGTTGCAGTAGAAGTGATTCTTTGGTAGAATAGCAAACCCTGAAGCATCTCTGAAGTCACCCCCAGCATCTTGACTGTGGCATTTTCAGGTATGTGACTAGTTAGCATCTGTTAACCTCGTGAAATGTAAACATTATTTACTTTTCAGGGCTGCCAAGAGCAAGGCAAGTGCTTCATAAAAGGAGGCGTATTATAATGCATCATTGCTCAGTGAAGACAGTTCTATACTCTTATGTTTGTATTCTCGTTTACTTTTTGTCCTCTGTGTGGCAAACTCTCAGTCAAGTGACACGTCTAGATGCCCATAAGCAGATGGACACCAGGTATAAGGTACCCAACATCACTGTATTCCTGATCTTACCAGGATTAAAACCAAGCCCTCCTTTCTGATCTCCTTTTGACATCTTTTCCCTCGTATTAGGTGCCAGTAGCTAACTTGGTGTTCCTCACTCTAGCTACATTGTTTCCCTTTGAGAGCTTTGAAATTACTGTACTTTGTCTTGCTATGTCTTCCTCAACCCCACTCCAGAAACCAACTCAACTGCACTCCACTTGTGTTCTTTCCTGGCTCTGGGGCTGCTTCTCTGTTCTTCCCCGATGTATGAACTCCTGCTCTTTTTCTCTAGGTCCTGCTAATGGTCCTGTCCTCATTTTCCACCTTCTGCCTCTCATCTCAGACAGCAGCCCTTCCCTACAGGACTCTTGATTTAGCAAATGCTTGACGATATCAGATTCATGCCCCCCCCCACTTCCCTTCCCAACTGAATCCAACATTTCAGATGTACCTTGGTGAATATTTTCTCTGGATCCTAAGAAATGTCAAGAATGTTTGAAAAAAAAATCCCAAATTTTGAACTTCTCAGGTTCAGACAAAGCAGTTATTATATGTGACGCATCCTAGTGACGTTGGGGGTGGAGCAGTGTTTGCTGTGTCTTATATCACACTAAAGGGGTGGACATTCAACTCTGACGGATAATGGACTTTTGCCTTTGATTTATATTCTGGCTATAAGCCTTATATAGTAACAGGTTTTCATCTCTGAATTATCCACACTTTTTGCCTATCATTTTATGAGCCAACTTTGAATATATGTTTTAAGTTTTGCTTACCCTTATTCAGGATTAAAATTTTGATATAGCTTTTTTAAAACAAAAAAGAAAGAAAGACAGGAAGGAAGGAAGGAAGGAAGGAAGGAAGGAAGGAAGGAAGGAAGGAAGGAAGGAAAAGGAATAATTTCTGAGGCTAGGGTGTGACTCACTATGTGATATGACTGTTCAATTTTCAATTTATCCATTATTTGTTTATCAAATTCTTGCTTCAGGTCCCCTCTGAGTTTTCTCTCCTCTTCTTCCCTCCTCTCCACTTCTTTCTTCAACCCTCCTTCTCCATGTTGGGTTGCTATCCTTATACCCGCTGGTATTCTTTGGAGAAAGGACTGTGCACATATAAGACACAGGCTCATCAGATCCCCTTTGCCCGTTGTTTACTGATACTGGGATCGAGTTGAAGAGGGGAGCATCTGCGCCCTTGCAGAGTCCAAAGAAGGCTTCTTAGTAAAGAAAAAGTGTTTAAAAACAACAACTACAAGCTCTGTAGATGGTAGAAAGTCATGAATGACTTCAGATTCTATGTGGTGTAACAGCTTCCTTTGTTACCCTGCTGCTTCTCCGGGCCTCGCCCAACCTGCCTCCCTGCTCTGTGGTCTCTGAGGGAACGGTGGTGTGAGTCATGGCAGGGAGAAAGGGCAATGGTGGACAGCTGGAACGTTGGTCTGGAAAATTTGAAGGTTAAATGGTTACCCTGGTATCTTGGTGCCCCAGTTTGTTCCTCTGCAAACACGGAGAGATCTTTTCACTCCCGTAGGTTGTTGCTAAGCTTAAAGCATGAGCAGTCACATGAAGCACGTAGAATAATGTCTGTTACGTAGAAAACATACCTATATCAGTAACTGCTGAGAGAGGAGTAAAGAAGTTTGTTTCAGCCAGAAAACAAAACAAAATGAAATCTGGTGGTGGAGGAAGATTTTATTTAGAATAACTAAGCATCCCTTCAACCCAAACAATTGTGTTGCAACAATGAGTTTAAAAGTCCAAGTTTAAGAAGTAAATGTCCAGCCTGAAACTTTCTTCATATTTTCTGTCTCCAATTCCACATACTCAAACTAAGAAAATTTTAGTGAGAAGATAAACCATCATGCTTCTCTTTAACCCCATGATACCAGGTCCTAGCTAAGCCTTAAGGCCCAACGTCACCCGTTTTTGCCATTTGATATTTCTGTGTCTTTACTTCTCCCACGCCTGGCAAATGGATCTAAGCCCATGTTTAATAAAAAGAAACTTAATTTAATTTACCTAGGTGAAGATTTTACAACTAGACCATCAAATAGATTGTATAATGCAAATCCCTGTGTCCCTCACATCCTTTTTTAATAAATTGGAACTAAAGTCTTTGGACTAACATTGAAGAGCTGACTATGAATGCATTCTTTATAGAAGGTTAATGACTTCAAATGGCTTCTGAATTTTGTTGATGGCTTGAGCTCAAGTTCTATGACCAAAGACAAATGTTGGATATTTTTTTCCTTTTTTATAACACTTACATTAGAAATATTCAAACCTGAATTAAAGAATATTATTATTATTATCATTATTATTATTGTATAATACTACAGATATGATTGGAAAATATCTGATGTTTCACTTGGGAAATGTGTAGGCTGAACCACCAGGTTGTTTTCCTCCTTAGGGAGCAGACTCAGCACTACTAGCTGGTAATTGTTTATGTGGCTACAGAAAACTTTGCATTTATTTCTTCTGAGTGATTCTAGAACAAGATCCAAAAGTTATCTCCTCCATGGGTCTCCATGCAATTCAAGCTTAAATATAAATGATATAATGCATTAAAGCTTAAAATGTTAATTTATTGGAGTTTTTACTAGCTCATATGTCATTCTTTACAAGTATGTTTCCTTTAAAGGGATTGTTAATATACGCATGACTCATGGATAGTCTATAATTTATACTGGTTTCAAAAATGAAGGTAACCATCAATCCTGTGCCATTTTCTATAAAACTCTTCTAAAGCAAGGTTTCTTTTAAAAACTTATTTTTAAGGTTTATTTATTCTATTTTACTTCTGTGAGTGTTTTGCCTGTCTGTTTTGGCACCACCCCTGTATCTGGTGCCCACAAGCATAAGAAGAAGGTATCAGATCTTCTGAAACTCGAGTTATACATGGTTCTGAGCCACCATGTGGTGCTGGAAACCAGACCCAGGTCTTCTGCAGGAACAAGAGCTCCTCACCTCTGAACATGTCTCAAGGCCTTCTGAGGCAAGTTTCATGACAGTAATTAATTCCTCTCAGGAAGAAAAAACCCACAACTAGGGTAGAATGGCTCGGTCGCTTAATTCTCTTCTTCTACTCAGTTAGTCTAACCCATTGCCTTCAAGTAACATTGATGGCTTAAACAGAGTTTTAAGATTTATTTTTGTTTTGTGAAAGTTGTTTTGGCATTTTCCCACATGTTAACCACACCTTAACAGCCTAAGGTACCCTTTAAAATACTTCCATTATTCATTGCCTTGTACTCCCTGTTTTTTTCCCGGCCCCAGAGCTTGCACCTCCCCATCTTCCTGCTTTTCTTGCCCTGTAAAAAAAAAAAAAAAAAAAAAAAAAAAAAAAAAAAAAAAAAAAAAAAAAANAAAAAAAAAAAAAAAAAAAAAAAAAAAAAAAAAAAAAAAAAAAAAAGCTCACCCACATTTATAAAATCAGCCATCTTCCTGTTCTGCATGCCCACCTTGTTATCTAGCAAATAGGACCCTGCTTCACCCCCACCTCAGTGAGCTGGTTTTCCTCCAGGCAGTCATACTTGAAATCCCATTTCCCTCCTTCCTCTTTCTTCCCCATCCCAAGCATTTATCAGGCTCTACGGAGATTTCACTTTTGCTGACAGGTCTTTGTCATTCTTTCTCTATCCAAAGATCTGTGTACTGTAGCTTTGGTCTCCACTTGGCTGTAGTGAGAGGTGGTGGAGTTTGAAAGGGTGAGGAAGACTAGGTCATTGGAAGAATTTCAAAAAATTAATGCTATTCTCATAGAGTTAGTTCTCTTGAGAGTCTGTTGTTATAAGGCAAGGCCACACCCTTTATATGGTCCCTTCTGAATGTAGCTGTATGCCTCTTTCCTTTCATGTTGTAACATGACCAAAGGATCCTTGCCAGGGGCCAAATATATAGGACTTTTTGATATTGAATTTCAAGCTTCTCAAATTGGGAACTAAGGCAACCTCTTTTCTTCATAAGTATCCAGCTTCAAGTACTCTGTTATGGCAATAGAAACCAGACAGATTCACATCCCCCCCCCCATCCATGCTGCCTTCATGCTAGGTTATACCATCCCTACTGCATCCTACGCTGGTATAATACCCAGATAAACTGGTTTCTGGCTAAATTAATACACGGATGTGCTGGTTTCAAGGGATTGTGTATTCTGCAACAGTACTGTGAGATTAATCTGTTTGCTCAAACTTAATACATACTGAACAAGGGAGCTATTTGTTATAAAAGAGGAGGAAAGAGGAATGGAAAGAGAGAGAGAGAAAACAAAGGAGAGGAGGAGACTGGGAGAGAGAAGAAGAAGAGGGGAGGGAAGGAGGGAGGGAGGGAGGGAGGGAGGGAGGGAGGGAGGGAGAAAGACAAAATCCAGCTGGTTAGGCTGTATTGTCAACTTAACACAATCTAGAACTACCTGGGAAGGAGGAAATTCAGCTACAGAATATCAGATTGGTCCAGATCTGTAAATAACTATCTTAACTGATGATTAATGTGGGAAGGCCCAGCTACTGTAGTGGCACCATCCCTAAGTATTTTTATACAGTCTGGGCTATGAACAACAAACAAACAAAATATAAGAAACAAAACAAATAAAGAAAAAACTATCAGAGAATAAGACAGAGCATGATCTAGCAAGCACTGTTCTTACTTCAAATTGCTTTTGATCAGGGTATTTTTCATAACAGAAAGAAACTAGAGGAGACTGCCTGCATCTCTCTGTACCTGTTTAAAGGCTTTCCTTGATTTTCCAAGTTCTCCATAAACAGTCACCCACTTCCCTGCTTTTACATATATTCTCATTTCTCCAATTTCTGCCACAAGAAGTTCTTTCCTTTCTCTCTGAAAACAGAGATCACCATCCTTCCTACATCCAGCTAGCAGGTCATCCTTAGTCTTTCCCAAAACTCCTTAATAATCTTCTCCAATCTCAGTGTTGTATCTGCAGTTGGCTTACTCCAAAGTAATGAAAGAGTACCTCACCATTGTGTGCACAGAAATTATACTTTATATGGGACAATGAGGCCAGAAATTATCACACCATGTTCATCCATCAGGCCGGGCTTGTATATGGCCATGCCACCATACCTGGCTTGCACCTAGCCATGCCACACTCCTTCACCGTGCCTGGCTTGCACATGGTCATGCCACACTCCTTCACCGTGCCTGGCTTGCACATGGTCATGCCATGCTCTTCTACCGTTCCTGGCTTGCACAGCACACACTCACATCCTTGCAGGGCTAATTAGAATGCTAAAGACTGCAGGTGTTTAACATGAACTTACACTGCAAGCATCGCCATCTTGGTTAAAACTTCAAAATTTTTATCAAGTTTTGCATATTGCAAAAGTACACTCAACAACAAAGTGAGTTGATAATTTGAAGTATTAGAAATCAGGTGTTATTATTGGGAGCTTTGTAGCTTCCTGACTGAAATGGATTTGCTGCGGTCCGGAGAGCAGCCAGTCCTGGCTACACACAGCAGGTCTCCAAAGGTGACTGGTCCCCTGGGCGTCCCTGGCGGCTAGACATGTGGGAGGTGGGTGGGCAAGGGACAGACAGATAGGCATACCATACAGATGGGTTTGCTGCAAGCTGCCTGGGTCCCCAAAACAGCAAGTCCCAAGCAGGGACGGCGCACAAGACCACGTGGCAGATCTCCATGTGACTGTGGCCGGCTGGTGGAGAGAGAGATGGATAAACATACCATACAGAGTAAAGTTAGACATTTACTAGGTGGATTATGGAGGAGAAGGAAAAAGGGGAGAAAGGAGGAGAAAGAGAGAGAGAGCAGGAAGAGAGAAAGTGCAAGTCTGAGGCTGCAAGCAGGAAGGTCATGGCTTGTCTCTTAAAGGGACAAAACAATCTTTACACTGACACACTAACTTGTGGGGTTTTCTTAAAATAATTTTAAAGAGCTCTTTTGTTTGAATAAATATTCTTTTGAGTAATTGAGGGGCACAGCTCCATGACTAGAAAGTATTTTAGGCTTTGTGGGAGCCTAGGCAGTTTGGATGCTCACCTTACTAGACCTGGAAGGAGGTGGGAGGTCCTTGGACTTCCCACAAGGCAGAGAACCCAGACTGCTCTTCCGGCTGATAAGGGAGGGGGACTTGATTGAGGGAGGGGGAGGGATATGGGAGGCGGTGGAGGAGAGGAGGCTGAAATCTTAAATAAATAAATAAATAAATAAATAAATAAATAAATAAATAAATAAATAAATAAGTATTTTAGGAGATGTCTGTCACCTTGTTCTGCTTCTTTAGAAAAAAATAATTTAAAGATTTTATTTTTATTTGTGTGTATGTGTTTCCTCCATCTTAATCACTGTGTGTGTGTTTGTGTGGTGGGTATGCGTGCCCATGTGCATGCACAAATGCCTTTGGGAATCAGAAGATGGTGTCAGATCCTCTGGGCTGGAGTTACACACAGTTATGAGCTGGCAGACACTGGTATTGGGAACTGAATAGGAATCCTCTCAAGAAAGAGACAAAGACTCTCAACCTCTGAACCCCTAATGTTCTACTTCTGTTCTTCGTTTTTCTGATTACTTTTTTTAAAATGATAAAGTTTCTTTCTCCGAAATGGAAGCAAACTAGACTTGTAGCCCAGCTCTTTGCCTGTTTTGCTCTAAGTTATTCTTTCCAGCACTCTGCTCCATGTTTCAAGGAAGCTCCAAAGTGAGCTGCAATTTTCAGTTCCCCCAGTAACATAAGTCACCTCTAATGTGCAGACGAAATACTAAAGCCAGTGAAGTAAAGGCTTCCCATGGTGACACAATAAGTCTGGCTAAGAGCAGAGGTGACCCTTGTCTCCAGTTTCTGGGCTGACACTGTGTTGCAAGTGGGTGCTGAACTTCACACTTGTTTTGAGTTTTCTGCAAGGCCCCACATTTTCTTCCACCTGATGAGCCAACTTGTGGGCTTCTCTTCAGTGACCTTACCTACGTTCCAGATGCCAAACTAATGATGTGCTTAGTGCTGTGAGGTACAAGAGGAGGAAGGGAACCTGTTGCAAAGAGCTGGGGCAGCACTGCTCACTCCTGTTGGAGGCAAGTGCTTCTGTTCTCCTTCGGGCTAGGAAATGCTTCCCTTGGCTGCTCTACTTGGAGGACATTGGTTCTTTGGAGATTAGAAAAAAAGGTAAAAAAAATAAACAAATAGTTTACCTTTCCTAAATCTTCCCCTAATCACACCACTACTTTCAGTGAGATTTGGTTATAGTGTATGTAAATAGTGAATCAGTGTTTGTCTCTGTTCGTGAGTAGGAGAAATCTCATCTTCAAACCTCACGATAGGCTAAACGCAGTGGTCAAGGTGGCTGGCTTTGCCATTTTTCAGAAATATTTCTTGACTAATTGGTCTACTTAAGAGTATTTGAAAAAACATAGGAACATAGACATCCTAGAAAAACAAAATAATTATTATGGACCAGTTGCTATTTTAGCAGCAGCTGCAGCAGTAGCAGAACACCATGCTGAGTCAGGGCCCTGATTCACTGTAGGGATCTAGTATCTTTGGTGAGTCAGGCTTGTATCTGAATGCTTGGAGGAGTGGGTTCACAAGCTGATAGTTTCCTAAATTCAGGCTTATAAATGAGCTCGGTAAGAATGCACAAGGTAAGCTGGCTGAACACAGCTCAAAGGTAGGAAGTTGGTTGTGCCTGTAGAGTGTATGTGTGTGTGTGTGTGTGTGTGTTTTGACTGCATGCATGTCTGCACATCACATATATGCCATGCCTTTGGAGGCCAGAAGAGGACATTGGGTCCCCTGGAACTGGAGTTTGAGGCAGTTGTGAGATGCAGTGTGGATGCTGGAAATCTGGAAGAGTTCCTAAATCTCCAGCCCAATGTCTGTACTTCCCTACATTCCAAAAGTTAATGCATTGTTTTTTCCTCATTGCTAGGACAAAACACCTGACAAAATCACCTCAAGGAAAGAAAGGTGTGTTTCGATTCACAGTTTGAGGATATCCATCATGGCCGAGAAGTTGTGGCAGCAGAAAGATGAAGCATGGTCCACAGACCATCATCCATCCACTGTCAGGTGGCAGACAGAAGTGAACGCTGGACTTCTGCTTGCTTCCCTTTTTTTTATTCCAGTGGAGAACTCCATTCATAGGACATGTCAAAAGTTTGTCTCCTAGGTGCTTCTAGACCCTGAAGAGCTGACAATCAACATTAATCATCACATTTACCAACCTTTGTCCTCTTCCTAGATCTGTTGGAGTAGAAACTATAGATTTGTTCCAACTGAGAGTTTTCCTAGACTTCGTAAATGTTGATTGATGCTGCTATAAAAAATTCATCCATCAAGGATTATCTATTACCTCAATTTAAGTCTCTAGATCCTTTATGTTTTGCCTTCACGGGCCTCCCTTACCTGAATGATGACAAAGATATTGCCCCTGTATTAAGGTTATTTTGCAAACTTAAGGCAGAAACCAGCATCAGAAATTAGTGTTTCTAGTTGTTTTTCTCACCTTTAGAGTATTCAGTCCAGACATGATAAGCATATGGAGGGGTAGGAAGGCATTGCCATACTGATCTGCTGGAGCGAGGCATTCAGCCTTTTCATAATCAAGCCCACTAATGCATTAACATTGCATCCTTGAATGCATGCAACATAAAACTCATATCTACTGCTTTCTTTATACTCTTTGTTTTTCTTTTGCAGTTGTGGCTTCCTAAGCAGTTTTTGCAGTTTTAAAATTGATATTCTACCATGTTGTGCTATGCATGTTGATTAGCTATGAACACAGTCTCAATGGAGCTTGCTTTCATCTCCTTTTTTGGACATTTCTCATGACTAGCCTTTGAAGTTACTACCCCGACTAGGAGTAATAGTGGGGAATGGGAAATAGAGGAGAACCTGAAAACCCAGTGGTCTGGAAGGCAGTGTTACAACTGGAATTAGGCTCCTTCTTCAGGGTATTCAATGTGTACAATCGTTTTTATAACAGTATCAAGGATGGAGATCACAATTACAAGTACAAGGGTACAAAGCAGTATTTTGCTCTGGAATTTATGCTGTTGGCTTGCATTTAAATTGTAGATATAGAGATGATAGCTATTGGGAGGCTCTTTTTTTTTTTTTTTTTTTTTTTGGTTTTTTGAGATAGGGTTTCTCTGTGGCTTTGGAGCCTGTCCTGGAACTAGCTCTGTAGACCAGGCTGGTCTCGAACTCACAGAGATCCGCCTGCCTCTGCCTCCCGAGTGCTGGGATTAAAGGCGTGCGCCACCATCGCCCGGCTCTGGGAGGCTCTTTTTTAAGAGCAGGAAGAAACAAAGTTGTCAATATTCTGAATAAAAAGCTTGTATCAAGTATTTTCCTCCAGTTCTATTTTCTTTTTAATTTCACTTATTAAATGCTAATGGCACAAAGGTGACATTTGGCTTAAGGGACAAGGAGTAATCTTTCTCTTTATGGTAAATCAGTGACCCATTCATATGTTGTCCTTTTCGTAGAGTCACAGTGCATGTTCACAGGAAGAACCACATGGAGCAACAACATGAGGCCGTGCACAGAATTTAATGAGGAATGCCCGGTGGACAGCCTTGGAGGTGTCAGTGTCGTTGGACTGTAGTGCTCCATTCCTTTGCAATCCCAGAGGAATGTTGCTAGAAGAGATTATTATGTGGAATGAGAAAGTCCTATCTTTTGTGACCAATATGTATTAAGAAACACATCTATTCTGCAAATACAAAGTGCTATCGTCTTGAAGAAGCAAGCAGCCATTTCCAACAGACCTGAGAACATGAGAATGTCTGTTCGTGGCAGAAGAGGCAAAAGACGGAAGTTTTTTCGGCTCTTTGCCACCTGTTTTATATTAAGCTTCATGGTTTTCTGGGGCCCGATCAATAATCACATTGTGAACCATATGAAGTCCTACTCCTACAGATACCTCGTGAATAGATACGGCTTTGTGAACGATTCCCTGTCTCTCAAGCACAGCTCCGAGCAACCTCACTACCGATACTTGATCAACCACAAAGAAAAGTGTCAGTCCCAAGACGTACTCCTCTTATTGTTCGTAAAGACTGCCCCTGCAAACTACGGCCGACGCTCTGCAATCAGAAAAACATGGGGCAATGAGGATTATGTTCGGTCCCAGTTGAATGCCAACATCAAAATTCTGTTTGCCTTGGGGACTCCTGCTCCACCAAAGAGAGAAGAACTGCAAAGAAAACTGATTTGGGAAGATGAAAAGTACAAGGACATAATTCAGCAAGACTTTGTTGATTCCTTCTACAATCTTACTTTAAAACTGCTCCTTCAGTTCAGCTGGACAAACAGCTTTTGTCCACATGCCAAATTCCTGATGACGGCTGATGACGACATATTTATCCACATGCCAAACCTCATCGAATACCTTCAAGGGCTAGAGCAAATTGGTGTTCAAGACTTTTGGATTGGTCATGTTCATCGTGGCGGCCCTCCTGTTAGGGATAAAAGCAGCAAATACTATGTTCCCTATGAAATGTACCAATGGCCAGCTTACCCTGACTATACAGCTGGGGCTGCCTATGTCATTTCCAGCGATGTGGCTGCCAAAGTCTATGAAGCATCGCAGATGCTGAACTCCAGTCTGTACATAGATGATGTGTTCATGGGCCTGTGTGCCAATAAAGTGGGGATAGTGCCACAGGACCACATGTTTTTTTCTGGGGAAGGTAAGGCTCCTTATCATCCTTGCATCTATGAAAAGATGATGACATCTCATGGACACTTACAAGATCTGCAGGAGCTCTGGATGGAGGCCACAGATCCTAAAGTAAAGAACATCTCAGAAGGATTTTTTGGTCAAATATACTGCAGGTTAATTAAGATAGTTCTCTTCTGCAGATTGATTTACAGGAATCCGTACCCTTGTAGGGCTGCATTTGCTTAACAGCACTTGAATACTCATATTCTCTGTCATTGAGCCAAACTTGGAGGGGGAAAATGTCTGTGAACATTTCTCTACACCCTAAGTAAAATGAACTGAAAGCAAAAAGATCATTTAAAATCCCAGGGAACTAAAATGTTTCTTTGATTACAGAAACTAGTCAATGCAACACCTAGTTCATGGCTTAAATTCATTTCAAGGATTTCAGATTTTAAAAGATTTAGATCATGAGCAAAGGCAAAAGTAAAGCAAAATTCAAGTTCTCACTTGGTGCCACATGTGTCTTTGAGGTATGAAGAGCAATAGGGATGTCTTAGTATCAAAATAATGATTGTGGGAAATGCCTAACAGATGTATAATGGAGCATTTCTAAGAAATTAATGTCTATAGAACAATCATTCCAATTTATTTTTATTAAAGAGTACTTGACGGAGGTGGGCAGATGGTATAGAAGAAAAGTATACCAACCTGAAGAAAGTTTCATTCTGATAAGGACAGGAAAGAAAATGTCTACAGTCTTGTTATGGTTGAATCACTTAACACTGGCATTCCTATAAATATTTATCTAGACAGTTCTGGCAACATTTAAAATATACTTACATAGTTTTCTCTAATTTTTAATATAAAATTTGAGAAAGTCATCAGCTCTGCTCTCACCAGGATAATCTAAAATTATCAAGCAGAAGTAGTTCTTGGCCCATGAGAGCCTCTCTAAAGAGAAATTTCTGTCAACTCCAATAGGTTGGTTTTGATTTAATGAATTATGCCATGGATTTTAAAGCATTAAATATTGGCCTTTGCTTAAGGTAGTTATTTCAATACTGCTTACATAGAAGAATATAATAAGGGAAGAGACTTCAAGAAAAGACAGGGCTAGGGCTGTAACTCAATACTCAACAAGAAAAGGCAAAGTTGCATAAAAAGACTCTTTTCCTTGTAACTTGTGATATGTTAGCTTGGAGTCCAAATCACAACAGTGATTACTAGAAACAGTCCAACATCTACCAGCAAGGTCTCATAGGCCACAGATTTTGTTCCAAATTGACTTTTAATTTAAAAGTTTTTAATATGCTACCATGTCTAAATAATTTATTATTTGGCTAAATAACTATCAGTGATGATCTTTTAAGTATTTCAAACGTGGAAGCAGAGCAAGAGTGGTAGAGAAACTAACCAAACGAGGCTAAAAGTTTTGGTAAAGCTGCATATTATTTGTAACCAGCGGTTTGGCAGATCAAATAAATACACTGATTTTACAAAGTAGGATGAAAAATGTGCTGTAATGTCAACAATGCACCAGCACAGAAAGGACTAAGTGACGTCCATGGATGGAGACATGCAATGCAAGCCAAAACAATGACTTTAGCCAAAGCAAATGGCCCATTTAACAAACTTCAGACAGAGGCACATGTTAGAGAAAAGCTCAGCTGTCATTAGGATGGTATTGGGGGGGGAGTAAAACAAAGCAAAACAAAAAACAAAATCTAAGAATTTCTCAGAATACACAACTAAATGATACCTGTGTTTTTGCAGGTAGATTTTATTTTAATGTTTACAGAAATCTTTGTGAATTTTTCTACTATGATATTTGAAGCTTGTTTACACTGCTTGGGTAATTTCTTACTAACCTCAAGATGTGGTGTTAAACATTCTTAAGATAGTTATTTTTAGGATAGATTCAGGGTTTTAGATTATTATAGTTCAGATTTTTCTGATCAATTTTAAAAAAAAAAAAACTAGGAAACAAAGGTGTTATTTGACAAGCAGTTTCATAGCTAACCAACCCTCACCAGTTGGCCCTTTGATAACTGCTGGCTTTGGGTTTTATGTGCCCGAGTTTCAATTTTGAGCTTTGAAAAGTTGCCACTGATTAGAAAACATAGTTTCCTTGTGGCCACTGAGGTGGTCTTGTTTACACTCAGTACTCTATGAAGCAGTTATTTATTTGCTTGATTGAGCTCCCTTGAACAGTGTTCATCCTTAGAATAGAACCGGTTTGAAGCTAAAGGAATATGAAGGTACTTTGTGTCTTTTGGAATTGTTAGATTATTCCACCAACAGACCCAACGGCCTGAAAAGTGTGTAAATGGAATTATTCTAGCCTTTTAAAAAGGAAGAAAAACCTTGGTGCTGAAATCCAGTGTTGTTTTCAAAATGAAAAATAAAATAGAAAAGGAAAACAAACTACTGGTCCCTTGAGTAAAAGAAAAACATGTCTATATACAGTATTATTGCTAAAAAAAAAAACTTCTTAATTCTTGATTGGTTTGCATATATTATTCAGCTATTAATTTTATACCAAAATGTTTAATATTTATATTGCTTGAGTTTCAATCTTATATGGCAAAATAATTAGAAGGTCTAAAATGTCTATGCTTTCCAATAAATTACTTAAAAACCATCAACAATGTATTTAGACTCCTGTGTGGGCAGCATTTTGTACATAATCACCCTATTTTTGACACTGTCTTCTTTGTTTTCACATTACTGCTCTGCTCAGTTTAGAGAATTTATTATGGAGCTGTAGGAGGAGGCCACTTGTTTGTCCCAGCCACCCAGAACCAAAATAACCACACAGAAACTATATTAATTAAAACACTGCTTGGCCCATTAGCTCTAGCTTCTTATTGGCTAACTCTTATATTAATTTAACCTATTCCTATTAATCTGTATATCACCATGTGGCAGTGGCTTACCAGCAAAGATTCGGCATGTCTGACTCTGGCAGCTCCGTGGCGTCTTCCCTGACTCTGCCTTCTTCTTCACAGCATTCTGTTTTGTTTTCCCCACCTAGCTCTGTTCCCCTACAGCTCTGCTATAGGTCCGAAGTAGTTTCTTTATTTATTAATGGTATCCTGTGTGGACATCATTTTGTATATAATCACCTTCTTTTTGACACTGACCTCTTTGTTTTCACATTGCTGCTCTGCTCAGTTGAGAGAATTTATTATGGAACTGCCTATCGAGGTCTGCTTCTGTGCTTCTGGGGAAATGCTGTTCCTTAATCATTTATTCAAAATGACATGAAATAAAGAACACGCAGCTAGGATGCCATTTAACGAGGTTAGACTTCATTCATTGGCGGAGTAAAAGAGGAGTGTGGAAGTATCTGCATTACTCGGGTGTAGCAGAATTTTGTACTTGGAAGGTACTCGGGTACACCTGAGATGTCTGTACTTCATCACTTGGAAGAACTAGTTAACTTAAAGTATATTTTTGCCATTTACCTGAACATCATAGCTACAATGAGAGTAGGCCCTGTGATCTCTGGATGTGCCAATTCTCCATTCCTCCAAAAAGGCTTTAGATGTCTACCCTGCTATTTCTTCCAGTCAGTTATGTGTCTGTATCAGAACAAGATTTAATTAGCTTCCCTCACACTGTTCCTTTGCTCTGCTCCTCAAATCCTGCTTCCTCTGTGGAACCGAAACTCTTCCACCTGGCTTTAGAAGACCCATTATTATCCCCTGTAAGTTTACTTTGTTCACTGCTGACATCATCACAAATTCCTTTCTATCCCTTGATGTTATTGGGTTCCTTTGTCAAGAGCACTATCTCTGTTTTATGCATCCAAAGGGGAGTGCTCTAAAAAGCCCCTGGTTATAAGAATCTGGAAGAGGTAAGTTTATGTTAATGACCCATACAAGGCCACTGCAGACCTCATGTACTCTCCTCTCCTGCTGCCAGGCCACAGGGAAAGTGTGGCACACCTCCAGTCATTTCTGTCTGTCCCTCTTAACCAATCCCCACTTCTTATAATAATCCATGTACTCCAGTATTTGCCTTCTGTACCCACAGTCACACCTTTGACAACTCCTACTAATTGTCCCATTTTTTTCCTTAGCTATAATATAAACTCTGACCTTAGAGATTCAGCATATCCAATTACATAGTAATATTATTCTGTCAACATATTCACCTATGTAAAGATTACTCAGATCCCTTCCTGGGTACTTTTTGATGTCAGTATTTGCTTATAGTACTTAAAAATGTGCACTTTATGCTTATTAATCTTTTATTAATTTTATGAATCGTAATATTTTACACTCAAACATACTGTGTCTATAAAGTTAAGCACCAATAACTTTCTATCAGCTACTTGTCACAGTTCAAATCTAGACTATCAAGAGTAAATAAGGAAATTCATATCAAATAATATAGCTAAGACTGGAACACAGCATTATGCAACATTATAACAAAATGCAAAAGCCTTGTAGATTCTTTAATCTCATAATGAATTTGGCTAATTTTGCATTAACAATGTTTCACATGAGCGTAAACTTTTCATTAACAGTTTCACATTTTTCCTTTGTCTTTCTTATGACAAATATGATTTAATGGACTACTATAAATTATTATGGTACAAAATTAAATTATTGTATGTATATATACTATACAATAATTCACCAACTAATCACAAGAGTCAGGCAGGGTTACTACCACAGTGATGAAACACCATGGCCAAAGCAACTGGGGAGGAAAAGGTTTACTTGGCCTACACTTCCACAGCACTCTTTATCATTGAAGGAAGTCAGGACAGAAACTCACTCAAACAGGGCAGGAGCCTAGAGGCAGGAGGATGACTCCTGCTTACTGGCTTGTGAATCATCACTTGCTCAGTCTCCTTTCTTAAAGAATCCAAGATCACCAACCCAGGGATAGCACCACCCTCGATGTCCTAAGCCTTCCCCCATCTATCACTATTTAAGAATATGTTCTACAGTACTGGCTTTGTGGGAGCCTAGCCTGTTTGGATGCTCACCTTCCTAGATCTGAATGGAGGGGGGAGGACCTTGGACTTCCCACAGGGCAGGGAACCATGACTACTCTTTGGACTGGAGAGGGAGGAGGAGAGGAGTGGGGGGAGGGCGGGAATGGGAGGCAGGGAGAAGGTGGAAACTTTTAATAAAAATAAATAAATAAGAAAGAAAGAAAGAAAGAAAGAAAGAAAGAAAGAAAGAAAGAAAGAAAGAAAGGAAAGAAAGAAAGAAAGAAAATGTTCTACAGCCTTGCCTACAATCCAGTTTTACGAGGCATTTTCTCTGTTGAGGTTTCTTCCTCTCAAATGACTACAGTTTGTATCAAGTTGACATAAAACTATCCAGCATAGCATGTATCTGCAACTATGAAAGTAGGTATGTTTCAAGATAGAAAAATTCTGTAAGGTAAATTCATTTATGGAAACAACAGAATACATCATTGCCAAGTGGTGCTCTTTGGAGGACATGACATTAACATCTTATGTTCAGAAATTCTCAAATTGGGCTATTCACTGTAACTCAAGGAATATTTTTTTTGCTTGTTTAATTTTTTGCTAGTTTAATTTACTATTTTCATATATGCATGTATAGTCTCTGTCATGTTTATGTGTGTGTGGACATGTGAGTGTGTTCATGTCTGTGAGTGCTGGCGTGCAGCACACACCAGATCAGAGGACTCCCATAAGTGCTAGTACTCTTGCCTTCCTCAAAACTTAAGAGTGGGTCTTTTGTTCATTACTGCATACAACAGTGCTGACTCACAAGTTTCTTGAATTTTCCAGTATCTGTGTCTAACTTTGCCTTAGACATTTCAGGAATTAGAGGTGCCCACCACAGCATCCAATATTACATGGGATGTAATATCCATATGTCCTCCTCATATATAAACAGCAAGAGCTTTGTTTACTGAGCATCAGGGATACATTTTACTACGATAGTTGAAAAAAAAACAACACTTTTTTTGCTTGAATATAACTGACAGTGAGTGGATATAAAATATTCTATTTTACTAAAGAAGCCATCTTTTGGAAGCTTGTTAAAATCCAATCATAGACCTTTGTGATAAAATTATCTCAAACGTTATATTAGTCCAGGTTCTCTAAAGGAAGTGGATAGGATGAATATATATGTACTTGCTAGGTTCACAGTCTCAGCAATTCTAGTCTCTCACTGAAGTCCTAGAGAATTTCTAAAGAGCTCCTAATCTTCAGTCTATTTAGGAATTCTTAAGAAGTTGGTACTTATAACAGCAAAGGAAACCCTTAAAAATAAGATCAATGAACTTGCCATGTAATGAAAGCCAAGAGATTAAAAGGCAAAGTTATATACATCCATGTCCTTTTCTGTGGGTTGCCACCATGTCTTAGTCACTCTTCTATTGCTCTAAAGAGACACCATGACCACAGCAACTCTTATAAAAGAAAGCATTTATTTGGGGATGGCTTACAGTTTCAAAGATTTAGTTCATTATCCTCATGGTAGAAAACATGACAGCATGCAGGTAGAAAGGGTAGTGAGAACTCTACATCCAAATACACAGGCAGTGGGAAGAGAGAGACTCTGAGCCTGTCACAGGTTCTTGAAACCCCAAAGCCCAACCCGAGTGACCTGCTTTCTCCAACAAGGCCACACCGCCTAATCCTTTCAAAGAATGATCAAGCATTCAAACCTATGAGCCTATGGGGCCATTCTCATTCAAATCACACACCAGAGGGTATGGCCCAGATTTAGTGTTGTATTCTGGGTTCAAATGATCTGATTAAGAAAATACCCACCTGAGATGGTGTAGGAGGTCTTTCTGTCTATATGTTGTTTTTATTGTTTAACGAATAAGGAACTGGCTTGGCCTATAGCATGGGATGAGAAAGTAGTAGTTAGAGAGATGCCATGGAGCCACTGCTGGAGATAGACATGCTAAAACTTTGCTGGTAGGCCACAACCTTGTGGTGATATACAGATTAATAGAAATGGGTTAAATTAATACGTAAGAGACAATAAGAAGCTAGACCTAATGGGCCAAGCAGTGATTTAATTAATAGAGTTTCTGTGTGATTATTTCATGGTTGAGCAGCCAGGAATGAACAAGTGGCCTCCTCCAAGAAATTGGCGCCCAATGTGGGACACAAACCCACGATCCTGAGATTAAGAGTCTTATGCTCTTCCTACAAATTTGTGCCCACGTGGCCAACTAAAATCCACTTAAAAACCTGAGAGAGCTTAATTCTAGACACAAAAATATAGAGTTTAACACAGCTTCTTTCTGTTTACTGGTGGCATGTCACAGCTCCTTTAAGAGAGATTTTCCTGACTCAGTGGCAGAAAAAAAAAGCCACACCATTTTGAAACACCGGCTTTCTGGGCCACGCTGCCAGGGCAACCTCTGGCTCTTCCAAAAGACCGAATATTTAGATGCAGTTTTTGAGCAGCATACTGCAGCTTGCTTGATGGCAACTTAGACCAGCTGTGTGCCTGGAAGTGGGGCAGTGTACATGGTGCTCAGAGGCAGTGAGCAGCTCTGTCATGCTTGTAGTAATAAGGAACAGCGGGGCTGCGTCCCCAGCACCCCGGCCGCCTGGCTAGCTTATGCCCGAAATAACAACATACAAACTG